TGTAAAGGGAAATCATGTCTTACTAATCTATTAGAGTTCTTTGAAGGAGTCAAACAAACATGTGGACAAGGGGGATCCAGTGGACATAGTGTACTTAGATTTCCAGAAACCCTTTGACAAGATCCCTCACCAAAGGCTCTTACGTAAATTAAAGTTGTCATGGGATAAGAGGGAAGATCCTTTCATGGATTGAGAACTGGTTAAAGACAGGGAACAAAGAGTAGGAATAAATGGTAAATTTTCAGAATGGAGAGGGGTAACTAGTGTTGTTCTCCAAGGGTCAGTCCTAGGACCAATCCTATTCAACTTATTCATAAATGATCTGGAGAAAGGGGTAAAAAGTGAGGTGGCAAAGTTTGCAGATGATACTAAACTACTCAAGATAGTTGAGACCAAAGCAGACTGTGAAGAACTTCAAAAAGATCTCACAAAACTAAGTGATTGGGCAACAAAATGGCAAAATGAAATTTAAATGTGGATAAATGTAAAGTAATGCACATTGGAAAAAAATAACCCCAACTATACATACAATATGATGGGGGCTAATTTAGCTACAACTAATCACAAAAAAAGATCTTGGAGTCATCGTGGATAGTTCTCTGAAGATGTCCACGCAGTGTGCAGCAGCAGTCAAAAAAGCAAACAGGATGTTAGGAATCATTCAAAAAGAGAGCGAGAATAAGACGGAGAATATCTTATTGCCCTTCTATAAATCCATGGTACGCCCACATCTTGAATACTGCGTACCGATGTGGTGATCTCATCTCAAAAAAGATATACTGGCATTAGAAAAGCTTCAGAGAAGGGCAACTAAAATGATTAGGGGTTTGGAACGGGTCCCATATGAGGAGAGATTAAAGAGGCTAGGACTCTTCAGCTTGGAAAAGAGGAGACTAAGGGGGGATATGATAGAGGTCTATACAATCATGAGTGGTGTGGAGAAAGTGAATAAGGAAAAGTTATTTACTTGTTCCCATAATACAAAAACTAGGGGCCACCAAATGAAATTAATGGGCAGCAGGTTTAAAACAAATAAAAGGAAGTTCTTCTTCACACAGCGCACAGTCAACCTGTGGAACTCTTTGCCTGAGGAGGTTGTGATGGCTAGGTCTATAACAGGGTTTAAAAGAGAACTAGATAAATTCATGGAGGTTAAGTCCATTAATGGCTATTAGCCAGGACAGGTAAGGAATGGTGTCCCTAGCCTCTGTTTGTCAGAGGGTGGAGATGGATGGCAGGACAGAGATCACTTGATCATTACCTGTTAGGTTCACTCCCTCTGGGGCACCTGGCATTGGCCACTGTCGGTAGACAGGATACTGGGCTGGATGGGCCTTTGGTCTGACCCAGTACAGCCCTTCTTATGTTCTCTGAATACTGTAGCATGCCTCAGTTTCCCCTATGTATTACTCAAGTGTCTAGGTGGTGGGATAAGGGTGTGTGATTGTTGCAGAGACCCCTAGAGGGCAGGTGTGTCTGCGACTGGCTGCAGAGAACAGCCAACACTCTGGCCTGGCACCTGAAGGCCAGGCCCCCTGCTCTGCAAGAATCAATCGGAGGTGTTGGAGAACAGAGACCATTTGACCTGCTAGCCTGGGAAAGAGACAAAGGACAGAGGAGGGGCAAGGGGTCTGATGGAGGCCAGGCAGCTGGAAGCGAGTCAGTCTCCTGGTTTGGGGGGGAGGGGGGAGAGAAGAGAGAGCCCAGGGCTCTGGATCCCCCTCAAGATGGACTTGGCTGAATGTTCCTGCTCCCTGTGCTCACAAGCTCTGCTCTATGCCGGGCTCCCGGTGACTAACAACCCGTCTGTCCCACGCTGGCTGGGAGTCACTGCTGGCTGCGGAGTGGGGGGCAGGGCCCTTTGGGGGCGTGAGGCTCCCTAGGAGTCCCGTCCAGGGGGACACGCTGCGGGGAGCTCACGGTGGATGGGGACTGAGCACTTCGAGGGGGCTTGCCCTGGGGGATCACACTGCATCCGAGTCCTGGCTCAGCTTCTTCCAGAGCAGCCAGACTGTGACGCCCGTGACCAGAAGCCTGGATGGGGGCAGGGGCTGGACGGCCTCAGCCTGGGCTCAGGGGGTCAGAGCCCAAGGCACCTGTGGAGCTGTACCAGCCACCCCTCCTCGTGGGGACACAGCTTCCAGCGGCAAGAGGGCGTTTCCCTCGGCTAGCCCCAGGCCCCGAGTGAAGCAAGGTGCCTTTCCCCAGCAGAGCTGCGTTTGCACTGGGGCAGTCGCGGGGGGAGAAATGTCAAAGAGATTCTAATGATCCCCCCCACATGACATGTCTCTCCTGCAGAGCAAGGCTAAGGCCAGACCTGCTGGGGGGTGCTTGGCCAGGTGAACTACACGCCATACCTCACCGTACCAGCACAGCGCTCCGGGCAGTACAGCTTACACTAGCCACACGGCGCTCTGTACCAGCACAGCTTACTGCAGCCCCGTGAGCCTGGTAACAGGGATCGCTGTGTCTACACCAGGGGCTTCTGCCGGCCCAGCTCGGTCAATCACTGCCTCCCCGGCTGTGCGGGCAGGAGTCCGTAGGGCAGACTTGGCGCGTATTTCAGGGGCTGCCCTCTGAAGGGGGCAGGCCCCCACCGTGTACAAGAAGCCCAGGCCTGGCCTGTGGACACTGACCGAAGCCAGGATTCACTAGGGGTAGGACAACATCGTGAAGGCAGCCAAGAGCTGTATCTCTCCAGTGCTTTCCAGAGTCCAGTGCCTGGGGTTCAGAATGGCCTTCGCTAAGCCTGCCGTCCTGCCACAGCATCCCTGCGGGGTTCCCGAGAACCAGAGCCCAGCCCTGCACTCCTGCAGGCGGGACTCCGAGGGAACACGTTCAAGCAAGGGGGCTCGGGGCTGGGTGTGGGAGGTCTAGGGTTGCCGGGCCCCGCTCCCCAAGGAAGGGTGATGGGCACGAGGTCTGCACCTGGGAGTGTGCCTCAGAGCCAGGAACAGTGCTCCTGGGCCACGTGGGATCCAGCCACTGGGCCCACTCATGACTGGGGCCCTTATAGAGCGACTGGGCTGGGGGTGGCACGAGGCTGAGCCACATCAGTGTCCTGGAAAATCCCCGCCCCCCCCTTGTAATATGGGTGCAGGGCTAGGCCCGTCCAGTGGGGGGCGGGAGGGGTGGTATCACCGCCCTGGGGAGTGTCCGTCCCCCCCAGGGGTGCAGGGTTAGGCCTGTCTGACGGTGGGGGAGGGGTCACCGCCCCGGGGAGCGCCCCCCCCCCACACACACACAGGGGTGCAGGGCTAGGCCTGTCTGGCGGTGGGGGAGGGGTCACTGCCCTGGGGAGCCCCTCCACCCCCACACACACAGGGGTGCAGAGCTAAGCCCATCCAGCGGGGGGCAGGGTCACTGCCCTGGGAAGTTCCCCCCCACAGGGGTGCAGGGCTAGGCTTGTCTGGCGGTGGGGGAGGGGTCACCCCCCCGGGGAGCCACCACCCCCCCACACACACACAGGGGTGCAGGGCTAAGCCCATCCAGCGGGGGGCAGGGTCACTGCCCTGGGAAGCTCCTCCCTACAGGGGTACAGGGCTAGGCTTGTCTGGCGGTGGGGGAGGGGTCACCGCCCTGGGGAGCCACCCCCCCCCCCACACACACACACAGAGAGGTGCAGGTCTAGGCCTGTCTGGCGGGGGAGGGGGGGTCACCACCCTGGGGAACACCCTCCCACACACACAGGGGTAGGGCTAGGCCTGTCCGGCGGGGTTGTCACTGCACTGGGGTGACCTGCAGTGAGGCTGGCTGAGCCCAGGCAGATTTTGCTCCTTCCATCTTTCCAGCCCCGGTAAACTCCCCAAATTCCCTCCGGCTTCTCATGCTCATTCTGAGAGGCTCAGCTCAGCCGGGGAGGGGTCTCCCCAGGCCCCACAGGGAGGGGGCATTCCCTGCTCCCCCGGGGGCCTGTGTGCCATCTCCTCTCCCGCACCACGTGTTTCCTCAGAGGTGCCTGGAGCCTACGGTCAGAGAGATCTGCCTGCACCCCCTGCTCCCTAGGGACACCCCCAGGAACGTTACCTGCGCAGTATCCGGGGGGCAGCACCTCATCCTGCCGGTAGCACTCCTCTCCCACCAGCTGCCTCAGGGCCTCAGCCACCAGCCCCTTGTAACTGAAGGGAGGAACAAGAGGGGTCACAGCAAACCCCAGCCAGGACCCCCAGCCACCTCCCACCTCCTCTGCTGGGCCGCAACGTCCACGCCCGTCAAGCCATCCCTCCCGAGGCCACAGGCGCGACGGGCCCCGCCGCTGCGGCTGCCCCACTAACCCAGGGCTGGTCCACACCAGACTGACCCAGCCCCGCTGCTCAGAAATCCACCCCCCTGTGCAACGAAGCTAGGCTGACCTCAGCCTCCATGTAGACAGTGCTAGGTTGGCAGAAGAACTCGTCCATCCCTAGCTCCCGCCTCTTGGGGAGGGGCCACAGCAACGGGCGAACCCCTCCCATTGCCCTGTCTACACAGCAGCTCTATGGCGGCGGAGCTGCAGCACTGCGCGGTAGAGAGCCTCGCGCCCCCGCCTCGGGGCGCCTCCCCCGCCTCCCCTGCTGCTTCGTAGTAGGTCGCTTCTGCTCCCAGAGCAGGAGGTGTAGAGCCAGTGGGGGGGGGCTGAGGAGGAGCAGCACATCTCCCTAACTCACACTTCCTTGTAGAACTGACAGTCCCACGGCCCCGCCCCCTCCCCTAGCTTACCTACGGCTCCTTACAGAGAAGTGGGGATGGGCAGCAGCCCGTGGGTGCTGCCCCACTCTCCCCAGCAACACGCATGGCATTCACGTGGGAGCCTTGCCCTGACAATTCACACGTCATCTGACCTGAATGGCCTGCTGCCCTCAAACCCTGCTCCCCATCACCGCACGGCCTGGGCGCCGGGCCCTCCGACACCCCCCCCCCCCCCCGGCTGGGGCCCCCCCCCCCCGCCCCGTACGGCCTTGGCGCCGGGCCCTCCAACACCCCCCCTCTCCCTGGGCTGGGCACGGCCTGCTGCCCGCACAGCCTGCTGCCCTCAAACCCTGCCCCTGCACCAGCCCTCCAACCTGTATTTCCTGTTGGCCTCGTCAGCTGTCAGGGCGTGGTCGAACATGAGGACCCGGTAGTGTGGATCGAGGCGCGGGCCGCTGTAATCTCGGAACTCCAGCTCCAGCGCTGCATCCAGCAGAGAGAGGTAGCGGCGCATGATCAGCGCGTAGGGGCTGCCTGCACCGGGAAAGAGACAGGCAGTGCTGCTGTCCCCCTGCTCACGTCGGGATCCTCCTTTCCTGGGGCAGGGGACAGATCCCTCCCCTCCCCTCCCCCGCTCTCCTGGAAAGGGCTGCCATACCCAACCCCTTGGGACCCACCTCCCACCCCTAGCCCTGGGGGCTGTAACCAGCCATGAGGGTTTCCTGGGCAGAGGACTGACATACTCATGACATTGGTGATGAAGGCTGGGGAGAAAACCTGGTGCAGGACAGCCTGGGGGAAGTGCCTGAGCTGGAACATGGACATGAGGATGTTGACAGTGGCCAGGGGCGAGCTGGCTGCCTTCTGCTCCAGGATGGCCTCCAGCTTGGGGAAGAGTTCGCTGTGGTTAGATGGCCGGTAATTCATGCGGCTGAAGGGAAACACCAGCTTCTGGATCACCTGCAGCCAGAGAGAGAGGGAGTGAGGCTGGGGCAGGCAGGGGGCATGGAGGACTGGCCGGCCTTGCCCTGAAGGGGCCCTTCCCTGGTAACTGCACTGAGCTCCCCACTCACATGGACTCCGTTATCCCCCTTCGTAACGGGACAGCTCCACGGGGGCAGGGCAGGGCGCTCACCTTGCTCTCCAGCTGCTCCCCACGCTTCAGCAGGAAGTTGGCGATGGTGTCGAGCAGGCGCAGCTCACGCAGCCTGTGCCGGGCCACATACTTGGCAATCAGCGCCATGGTGTAGGGGGTGAGGTTCTCGGCCTTCCTTGGGAGCCACTCTGCAGGGAACACCACAGAGAAGGGCTGCATCAGCCAGAAACGCCAGACGCTGCCCTGCCTGGGGCCCCATGTCCTGCAGGATAACAGCCCGGCCCGGCCCTTCCAAGCCAGGTCTCTGCATGGGACTCCCTGGGGCTCCGACTGAAACAAGGACACTGCTCCCACGCTCCCTGCAGGATTGGTCCACACGCCCTGGCTGAGGTGCACAAGGGATCAAGAGCGGAAAGGGCACCCTCGACCGTCCCATGGGGGTAGGCCCCCCAGAGCAGCCACTGACAGGCAGGCTCCCGTGTGAGCAGCTTGCGCAGTGCAGCTCCCCGTGCCAGACACTGGGAGATCGTCACAGGGTGCTCCTGGGGGAGCAGGGACACACGGCTTAGAGGGCAGGCACAGCCTGTGATGTTTAAACCACCACCGCAGGGGGCAATCAGCAAGTTGGTACAAGGCCGCCTCTGCCGAGCCCCGGGCAGCTCCCGTGCAGGCTGCTGGGGCCCCGGAGCTTTTCAGAAGAGCACATCTGCGTGTACAGATGTCCCTTTCCTCCTCCTCCCAAACGGCTGAGGTTCCTGTGCTCCAGCATCCAGAATTCACCCTCCAGCCACCAGCCTGGGACACCTCCGCCCAGAAGGGGAACGGCTGGGAAACGTACACTTGTACAGCTGGGGCTGCTACTCCGGCTCGAATGTCAGGCATTTCCCCAGCACCGCAGGGCACACCGGGGAGGGGCAGCACAGCTGAGCTCGGGGCAAGGAAGGGCAGGAACAGAGGCTGTGGAGAGGGTGGCCCGGAGTCCAGACCAGCCAATGCCGGGGAAAGGTTTGAGGCGAGCCTGGGGAGGGGGTAGCCCCCAGCCCTCACCTGCCATGCTGCGGATGAAGCGCTCCTGGCGGTTCTCATAGAAGAGCTGCGAGCTGAAGATGGCCTCCAGGGCCTTATTGTTGGCCTCCTGAGCGCACAGGGCCAACATCTCGTCCAGCAGGGCTAGCTCGTGTTCGCGTACGGCGCTCACTTGCCCCAGCGTGTGCCTGACCAGGCGCAGGATCTTGCGGTTGTTGAGCAGCTGCTGGTCAGAGGCTGGGTGGCCCTGCAGCGCCTGGGCCCGGAGCCGGTAGTAGGAGAGGAGAAGGAAGAGGGTCTGTGGGTGGCGCTCCTTCTCCAGGTGCCGCTCCAGGCTGCTGAGGCAGGACTCCACCAGGGGGTGGGGGCTGGATGGGTGAAGCCGCATCACACTGCTGAACACCATGGAGACGTCCTTCTGGTTGAAGCGCCCCAGGCGGCTCCGGGACTCATCCTCCAGCACCTGCACCAAGGCCGACTCGCCAGGGAGGCCTGGAGACAGAGCAGGGATTAGGGAACCTTGCCCTCTGGCGTACCTCAGCAGCCACTCGCTGCGGGACCTGGGTTCTGCCTCTGCCCCCACTCAGAGCCTCCCCATCAGCAGCACTAGGAAACCAACCCAGATCAGGTCAGTTTTGATGCTCCCCACAGCATGAGCTGAGTCTTGTCAATTACCCCTGAGGCTTCTTGGGAAGCTCTAGGTGGCCCCAGCAGCACTGGAGCTGCCTGTGGGCAGACTCAGGCAGAGGTGCAGAGCACCATGGTCAGATCTGGAGGGTCCTTCCCGAGGAGAAGAGCTAGAAATGCCATGATGTTTCAGTTAAAGCTGGGATCCTGCAGAAACGGATCCACTCTGCACCCGGGCAGGCTCCTGATCTCCACGAGTGGGCTTTTACAGGCCCAGACTGCTGTGTCTGCAACCCCCCACCGCCCAGAGCCACAGGCACACGCAGCAGGTCTTCCCTCCAGCACCCTGCTCCAGCTTAAGTATCTCCAGCTCTCGGAAAGGGAACCTGATTCAAATCAGTCAGGTCTCTATGGATTCCAGCTGCTCCTGAGAATCATGCTCTAAAATATCCGCTAAAAAAAAAAAAAAGGTTTTAGCTCTCGTGGTTGCAAAGAAAACGTTGAAATGCGACCTGAGCACAACCAATGCCATGAGACTGGCCTCAGTGCCCGGCCAGCTTGAAGAGGGGTGACAGCCCATTCCTCTCCGGGGTGGGGGAGGGGAGTGTTGATGCTGAAACCTAAGATGCCGATTTCCCTGTGATCATTCTGGGTCTAGTCTGATGCTCAGTGAAGTCAATGGAAAGTCTTGCTGACTTTGCTGGGCACAGGATCGGACCGCCCAGCAGTCACACCTATCCCACAACTTCACACTGCCTCCTCTGCCTTGTACAGGGAGGAATTTCCTGTCTCCTTCAAAACCCAGGAGGTGCGGCACTAAGCAGGCTAATCATTCTTAACTCATCTCTTAATTTAAATGAATATTTTAATTAAGGTAATTGAAGTAGTGACAGTAGCCGAGCCACTAACAGTGACCACAATCGAATTAAGTTCAACATCCTGGAGAAGGTAGGGCCCCAGAAGTGACAACAAGAAGAAAGTCAAGGAAAGTGTGGGGCCCTTACTGAATGAGGGAGGCAACCTAGTAACAGGATGTGGAAAAAGCTAATGTACTCAATGATTTTTTTGCCTCTGTCTTCACGAACAAGGTCAGCTCCCAGACTGCTGCACTGGGCAGCACAGTATGGGGAGAAGGTGAGCAGCCCTCTGTGGAGAAAGAAGTGGTTCAGGACTATTTAGAAAAACTGGACAAGCACAAGTCCATGGGGCCGGATGCGCTGCATCCGAGGGTGCTAAAGGAGTTGGCTGATGTGATTGCAGAGCCATTGGCCATTATCTTTGAAAACTCATGGCGATCGGGGGAGGTCCCGGATGACTGGAAAAAGGCTAATGTAGTGCCCATCTTTAAAAAAGGGAAGAAGGAGGATCCGGGGAACTACAGGCCAGTCAGCCTCACCTCAGTCCCTGGAAAAATCATGCAGCAGGTCCTCAAGGAATCAATTCTGAAGCACTTAGAGGAGAGGAAAGTGATCAGGAACAGTCAGCATGGATTCACCAAGGGCAAGTCATGCCTGACTAACCTAATTGCCTTCTATGAGGAGAAAACTGACTCTGTGGATGAGGGGAAAGCAGTGGATGTGTTATTCCTTGACTTTAGCAAAGCTTTTGATACAGTCTCCCACAGTATTCTTGCCAGCAAATTAAAGAAGTATGGGCTGGATGAATGGACTGTAAGGTGGATAGAAAGCTAGCTAGATCGTCGGGCTCAACGGGTAGCGAGCAATGGCTCCATGTCTACTTGGCAGCCGGTATCAAGCGGAGTGCCCCAGGGGTCGGTCCTGGGGCCGGTTTTGTTCAATATCTTCATTAATGATCTGGAGGATGGCGTGGACTGCACTCTCAGCAAGTTTGCAGATGACACTAAACTGGGAGGCGTGGTAGATACGCTGGAGGGTAGGGATAGGATACAGAGGAACTTAGACAAATTAGAGGATTGGGCCAAAAGAAACCTGATGAGGTTCAACAAGGACAAGTGCAGAGTCCTGCACTTAGGACGGAAGAATCCCATTCACTCTTACAGACTAGGGACCGAATGGCTAGGCAGCAGTTCTGCAGAAAAGGACCTAGGGGTTACAGTGGACGAGAAGCTGGATATGAGTCAACAGTGTGCCCTTGTTGTCAAGAAGGCTAACGGCATTTTGGGCTGTATAAGTAGGGGCATTGCCAGCAGATCGAGGGACGTGATCATTCCCATCTATTCGACATTGGTGAGGCCTCATCTGGAGTACTGTGTCCAGTTTTGGGCCCCACACTACAAGAAGGATGTGGAAAAATTGGAAAGAGTCCAGCGAAGGGCAACAAAAATGATTAGGGGGCTGGAGCACATGACTTATGAGGAGAGGCTGAGGGAACTGGGATTGTTTAGTCTGCAGAAGAGAAGAATGAGGGGGGATTTGATAGCTGCTTTCAACTACCTGAAAGCGGGTTCCAAAGAGGATGGATCTAGACTGTTCTCAGTGGTAGCAGATGACAGAACAAGGAGTAATGGTCTCAAGTTGCAGTTGGGGAGGTTTAGGTTGGATATTAGGAAAAACTTTTTCACTAGGAGGGTGGTGAAGCACTGGAATGGGTTACCTAGGGAGGTGGTGGAGTTTCCTTCCTTGGAGGTTTTTTCCTGGCTTGACAAAGCCCTGGCTGGGATGATTTAGTTGGAGTTGGTCCTGCTTTGAGCAGGGGGTTGGACTAGATGACTCCTGAGGTCCCTTCCAACCCTGATATTCTATGATTCTATGACAGTGACACTACATTTCAGAAAGAGATTGAAATACGAGGCAGATAGTCAAATAGGCTCTCAGGTCAGAAGTAAAGAAAGTGAAATCCCCGCAGGTGGCATGGATCCTAGTGAAACAGGAAGAGGCACTCAGAACATATTCGAGCTGCTGAACAAAAGGGAATCCGTAAGGCCAAGATTAAATGAACCGGGCTAGCGGGCAGTGGCCAGAGGCTACTTGAGCCCAACAGAAATCCAACAGTACATCCAAGAGCTCCGAAGGAGCGTCAGTAAGAAGGGGCTGAGCTGCTAAAGACTGCAATTGCTTACAAAAACCAGCCACTGTCCCAGACGACCAGAGGGGCCAATGCTGTACCCAGATCTAAAAAAGGCCCTGGGGTGATCCAAGGAATTAGAGCAGCCAGCCTTACATCTATCTGTACCCGGCAAACTGGTTGAAATGATCATTAACAACAGTCTATTAAAAGACCAGGAAGAACTGGGTTTCACAGGGTCTAACCAGCGTGATTTTTGCAAAGGAAAATCACGCCTCACTCATCTATTGAACCAACTGACGTAATTTAGACTTTCAAAAGGCCTTTTCCAAGGTCCCCCACAAGAGGTGGCTAAAGAAGCAAAGTCATCCTGGGGTGAGAGAGAGACAGTGCTGTCGTGGATCGAAGGCTGGCTGGGCACAGAAAGCGAGAGCAGGACTGAAGGACAAGAGGTTAACAGCGGGGCCTGAAGGCTCCAGGCTAGGTCCCGTGTTTAATGAATTTATCAGTGGTCTGGAAAGGAGGGTAAGCAGGGAAGTAACAGCATTGGCAGCTGCTAAGTTATTTAGGTGAGTCAGGCCTAGAGAGGGCGGTGAGGAACTCAGAGATCCCAAGCCCAGCTGGGTGAAAGGGCTGCAGGACAGCCAGTGAAGTTCACTGTTGATAAATACTAAGTAATGCGCATTGGAGGGGAAAATACACCTCTACCCCGATACAACGCGACCCGATAGAACACAAATTCGGATATAACGCGGTAAAGCAGTGGGGCGGGCGGGGGGCTGCGCACTCCGGCAGATCAAAGCAAGTTCGATATAACGCGGTTTCACCTATAACACGGTAAGATTTTTTGGCTCCCGAGGACAGCGTTATGTCGAGGTAGAGGTGTACCAAGGACTTGTCCACCTGACAGGGCTCGACATTAACTGTGTCAGCCCGGGAAAGGGATCTGGGCGTCACTGCCGACAGCTCAGTGGAGATCTCTGCTCCGTGCACAGCTGAGGTGATGCTGGGATGCTTAAGGACTAGGGTGGTGAATAACAGAGACTATTCGAATGCCTTTTTATAAGCCAATGGCGCAGCCTCCTCCGGATCCTGTGTGCAGCACGGCCGCTCTGTCCCAGACAGGATATTGCAGAGCTAGAGGGGGTTCAGACAAGGGCGGTGAGAATGATCCAAGGCTTAGAACAGCAGTTGTCAAACTGTGGGTCGGGATCCCAAAGTGTGTTGTGGCCCCATTTTAATGGGGTCGCCAGGGCCAGCATTAGACTTGCTGGGACCCGGGGCTGAAACTACAGAAAAACTCTATGAAGAGAGATTGAAACAACTGGGACGGTTTCCTTAGAGAGCAGAGGAGCAAGAGGGGATGTGATAAGAGTCTATACAAATAACGACTGGTCTAGAGAAAGCAGATGGGTGCATTTGTGCTCCCTGACTTAGAACGCAAGGACAAGGGGACATTCCATGAGATTAACGGTGGGAAATTCCAAACTGAAAAACACCTTTCACACGGCGTGTGATTAAAGTGTGCAAGTCACTGACACAGGAAGTCATTGAAGCCAAGAATTTAGCAAGATTCAAAGACGGATTGGAAGTTTATGGAACACCCATAATAGTTATTGTAACACAAATTCTGCAGGAATATTAAACCTCATCTCCAAGGCTTAAGCCGATCGCTGACTAGTAAGGACTAGATAAAACCTACTGCTGGGGAAGACTGCCCCACATTGTAAGGATAAGGACTTTTCCTGTAGCCATATTGTAAGGTCTGAGGCCTTTGTCTGCAGCCATATTCAGAGAGCAGCAGCCATCAGCCAAGAAGCAGAAAGTCACATCCCCACATTCCATCTAAATTACATTAAAACAATGTAACATCGGGCTGTTAAGAAGACTCCTGTTCTAATAGCACCCACCATCCCCAGATACAGAAACGGAGCTTAAGATGGTTACAGAAAACTTTGTTTGATTGCGTTCTGTCCGGCAAGAAATCACTTATCAATAGTTGTGACTGTGAAATCCCGACTTTATTATTGTTTTGTCTTTATGGTCTCCATTTCTCTATTGTTTATCTGTCCGGTCTCAGTTTTGATTGTTTCGGTTACATATCTAATTTTGCGAGGTGTAAATCAATGAAGGTGGTGGGTAGGATTGGTTAAAGGATTGTTTGACAATATGTTAGGATTGGTTAGAGAATTGGTTAGTAATCATTTAGTAAAATGATTGGTTAAGGTGCAGCTAAGCAGGACTCAAGTGTCACTATATAAATTGGGGTCCAAAGGGAAGTTCTTGGGAACCAGCTCCAGGCCCCAGCGTCAGAGCTGCCAGACCTCAACACCCTGCCAATGACACCGTGCAGAAACTGGAGTCTCCCAGATGACCTGATCCTGACCGGCCAGCGAGAAAAGCTCATCTGCCTTATTGGGAGTGGTGAGCACCGTAGGCTTAGCGTGTGCCTTCTGTTTTGGGGATTGTTAATAAACAGAGGTTAAGTAGGATATTACTATGTGGGGTTCTTTCACTGGTAAAAGACCCCGCAAACCCGCAGAGTGTAAGATTACGCCTTGAGCCCTAGGAACTGGGTAAAGGTGGGTGCCCTTAGAGCACGTGAGTAACAGAGAATTTTGTGCAGGTAACATCATCAGCTATGGAAGGATTCTTATGCCTTCCTCTGAAGTCTCCGGCACGAGCCACAGACCTTGGGGCTGATCCAGTCAGGCCATTGATATGTTCCTCTCCTGCCCATTCACCAAAGTGTGGCAGAACCTGGGATGCTGCCCCTGAATGAAGGTCCAGCTGCCTGTTGAGCTCAGAGCCTGCACCCCAGTTCCCAGCCCCTCTTTCTGCAGCGGCTGTCACCCCACGCCCACCTGGTGCTGACTCTCTCAGCCTCCTCCTCACACAGGCCCTCTGGGCACTTCAGACAAACGCAGCCTACTCAGATTCACATTTCTTTCTTCTTGTCCTCCCTGGCTCAAGCCCCAAGGCGTGTCCCCCAAATGCAGCTTCTGCCCCCACGATGGCACAATGCCTCCTGTCCTGGCATGAACTCACACAGGTATGGCTCTGGTCCAAACCTCCTGCGTACACACATAAAGGCAACGTCCCCACACACATAGCCAGGCGCCATTCCTTGTCCACCTTATATGTATCCCTCCATGCTCCAGAGCTGCCCACCTCCAGGGAGGTAACCCCTTTACCCACACAGACTGGGTGTCTACACGGGTGTGAGAACCCCTCCTGCCCTCCGAACCCTATGCACAGCGCTCCACTGCAGTCCCACTACCCCTCACCCCCCCCATGGCACATAACCTCTTACCCCCCGTTCTCGGAGCACTCACCCAGGGCCGCGGCAGCGTACAGACAATTGACAATGCTGAAGTTATCGAACTTGGAGCACCCACTGATGATGGCCTGGCAGAGCGCCTGGAACTCTGGCTGCTCCAGCACCTGGTTGGGTCCGCGGTGTTCTCCATTTACCATGGCCTGGTTCTGCGGCTGCTGCAGCAGCTGGCCCAGCTTGTGCAGGGCAATGGGGTAGTGGCTGGCAGACACCTTGCTGGGGTTCTGGGTGACCCAGCGCAGCACCTCCCCCACACTCCGCGACCGCTCTATCAGCCGCTTCATGGTGAAGAAAGTGTCGTAGCTCATCTTCTCGTGGATGAAGCTCCAGCTCTTCCTCTTGCCATGGCCTCGAGTCCTGCCGGCGTCGGGGGGCAGGCTGTGGAGCAGCCCGTGGCTGTAGGGATCCAGGGGGAGCAGCACAGCCCGCGGCTTGGCCTTCCCCGCACAGTAGCAGCTCGGGTACATCCTGGCCCCCCTCGTGTCACTAGCAGCCAGCCCCGGCAGGACGCAGGGCCGTGCGCTCTCCTGGCTCAGGGCGCGGAGCCATGGCAGCAGGCGCAGCATGGTGAGGGGAGGGCAACTCGAGGGGCTTCTGAAAACAAGGAGACCCTGAAAGAAAGTCAGAGAAAGAGCATGAGGGAGGCAGAGCCAGGGCCCAGCGTCCCTAGGGGCCTCAGCCCGGGA